ACACTATAGTTATTATGAGATTGTTAAATGATTTTTATAAAAAATCTAAAAAAATAATAATATTGTATATTAAAAAAATATTTAAAACAAATATAAATTCTTATTAAATCTATTTATCTATCTATCTATATCTATATATTATAAAAGTAAAAAGGAGTTTCTAACCACAAGTCTTGTGGGAGTTCTAATATCTCAAACTAAATTTTTTAATTTTTTCCCACAAGTCTTGTGGGAGTTTCAATATTTCAAACTAAAATTTTTAATTTTTTGATTTTAAATAATTAAAAAAATCGTCTATAGCTCTCATTCAAGCAAAAAAATAAAAAATAAAAAATAAAAAATAAAAAGATAAGTAATGTCTTGATTTATGAATTTCAAATAGAAAGTATATCAAATATATAAAATAAAAAATAAAAAGTATACTAATCCATTTCAAATTCAACTTTGAGGGGCATTAAATATGAAAAACATTCCATTAATTTAAATTTAAAATTATAATGACTTATTCCAAATATATAAGTTTTAAATAATGATATATTCTATGATTTATCTATATATATGTTATTTTAATTGCAAAATATTGTCATTTCATTAAGATTGAAAGTTGTAATTCTTTTTTCTTATTTTTTTATTTTGTTTAATTTGTTGTTAATACGTATTACAATATGATTGGTTTATAAATTAATTTTATATTCTTAAAATAAAGGATAAATTACAAATACACTCATTGAGGTTTGATTAAAATACAAATCGTCCCTATAGTTTTGAAAATTACATTCCATCCCCTGAGATTTCTAATTTCATAACAAATTGCTCATTTTATTAATAAATCATCAAATCAATTAACAGTTTTTAATGATATTATAAATATGTTTCAATTAACAATTTAGGTAATTTTATTATTATATAGGAGAGCAATTATGAATTTTATATTTTTAGTTAATTTTGTTAAATAAAAATTCTTAACAATGGGGTGTTGTAATTTTCCAAACTATTGGGGGCAATCTGTATTTTAAACAAATCTTAGGGGATGTATTTGTAATTTACCCTAAAATAAAATTTCAAATTTGGATTCTTACTTAAATTATATTGCTATTCGTTCCTTAAATTTCGCATCCTTTATTAAATTATAAAATAAAATTTCAAATTTAATTTTTTTTTTCAAATTATATTGCTACAATTAAATGTGATCAACATTCACATGTATCATAATATACATGTGTTCAAATTATTAATCGCTATTAAATTATTTTTTCTTTTTTGTTTTAAATTTTATAAAAAAAATTATATCTTTTGTAAACTATAAGGACTTGAACAATAATATTTTTTAATACAATATATATATTTTTTTTGACAAAAGAACAAAACATAACTTTTTTAGTACTTACCAAATATGATGAATTTTGTTAGATTTTTTTTAAATTTTTAAATCTCAATTGTTAATTAAAGAAATTAAAATTATAAAGATATCTTTGACTCAAAACTTTTGCTAAAATAAATTAGAAAGAAATGTTAATTTTTTTTTTTTATTAAAAGTGATAGTTTGCTAAACTTTTTTATTTAAAAAAAAGAAGAAGAGGGTTATAAGTGATAATTTATTATTCATCTACAATTATTTTCAGATTAAATGAAAATATCATATTAAATTTTCTTTTTACCTTTTTTTATTCAAACACTTTTATTTTGTAAGAAATTTGTTTTTATTCTATTTAATATTTTATTGTAATTTTTAAATTAAAAATAATTTCTAAAAAATCATATTTAAATTATTTATGCAAGCTCAAGTAGTTACACCACTACCACTACCACCACCATCGAAACCACAAGAAGTTCCAAGGGAAGAGGTGCCGGTTGTTCTTATACTCGCACTAGACCAGCTAAGAGACGAACCTAAGATCGAGGTTTGTAATCTCGACATCAATGCTGACAGAATCGCTTACTAAGGATAATGCATCAGATAATAAATGCATCAGCCATGAATAAAGCAGTTGCATCATAATTACCGTATGTATGGTTGTAGGAGAATATTATATAATAACAAGATGTAGTTAGTTTGTTAGACAGTTATGATTAGTTAGGTTGTTATTACTAGTATTGAATAAATGTGTATATATACACTTGTACAGAGATGATTTTGTTTCTTATCATTCAATGAAATACATTCTTCATGGTATCTGAGCATTGCCGCTCTAACGAGTGATCCTGGCAATGGCTTCCTCTTCTCCTTCATCTATCCCTTCCAATCTCACCATGCTAATCTCAAATATTAATTCTTTCATTACTGTCAAATTGGATAGCACAAATTTTATCATTTGGAAAAATCAAATGCAAAACATTCTTCGTGCAACTGATCTTCTCAAATTTGTTGATGGATTATATCATTGTCCACCAGATTCAGTTCGAAGTTCTTCGGGCTCTAAGATTCGTAATCCAGAGGCTATACAATGGAGAGTGATAGATGCACATCTTCTGAGTTATATTACTGCTACACTTTCTCCAGCGATCTTCACTGTTGTTCTTCATCTTCACACCAGTTCTGAGGTCTGGATGTTTCTTGAAAAACGTTTTACCTCTCTGTCTGGATCTCACATTCATCAACTCAGGAATAAGCTGAATTTGATTTCTAAAAATTCAGATTCCATGGAAGTTTATCTTAGTAATATTAAGGCGATTGTTGATCAGTTGAATATTGCTTCTTCTTTTATCGATGATGAAGATATTGTGTTGATTACATTGAATGGATTTCCTACTGAATATGATTCGCTTAAAACGGCTATTCGTGCTCTATCGGAGAGTATTACAATGGAGGATCTTTTTTCTCTCCTATGCTCCGAGGCTATTCATGTTGAAGGAAAGATCAACCATGCCTTTGATCTAACTGTAGCTTACGCAGCTATGAAAGATACTAATTCTTCTAAAGGTTTAACTTCTTATCATCATAATCGTGGCTTCTCTTGTGGTGATTCAAGAGAGTCCAAAAATGCATATCGCGGAAATGCATATCGTGGTTTTGGATCTGGTTCTAATAGATATTCCAGTTCTCGTGGCAGATCTCAATCTCACACTAGGTCTCAATATGGCATCATTTGCCAAAGCTGTGGAAAGGTCAATCATACAGCCATGGAGTGTTGGCATCGCCTTGATCCACAGTTTCATGCTCCCTCACAGACTCAGTCACAATCCTCCTCTATTACATCTCATCAAGCATTTGTTGCATCTACACCAGATATTGCTTCTTCTTCTCAGACTTCTTGTCCTTGGTTCTTGGATTCTAGAGCTTCGGATCATATAACCAATGATCTACATCACTTCAATTCTTATCAACCGTATGATGGCACTGATCAAGTAACAATTGGAAATAGTACTTCTCTTCCCATTCATCACACTGGGAAAGGTATCTTGCCCACACCACACCATTCTTTTCGTCTTGATAAAGTTCTTCATGTTCCTTCCATTTCTTCTAACTTGCTTTCAGTGCATCAATTGGCCAAAGATGATAACTGCAATATTATATTTGATCACTCTTCTTTTGTCATTCAGGACAAGGCCTCTAAAGCTATTCTGCCCAAAGGCTTGCATACTAATGGTTTATATCATTTTCCTGTACTGCCTTCATCATCATCACCTCATGCTTTTCATAGCTACACCTCCTCTGATGCTGACACATCTATTGCTCCATCTGTTACTACCTACACATGCATTTAAGCCATCCATCATTTTCAAAATTTCAAGTTCTGAAACATCAGTTGTCTTTGTCTACATTTGTTAATAAAGCACATTTGAATTGTAATGCTTGTTCTATTTCCAAATGTCATAGACTTCCATTTACACTTTCTAATTCTTCTGTAAATAATCCATTGGCATTAATCCACTCAGATGTTTGGGGACCATTCACTTGTTCTACTTCTACTTACAAATATTATGTGTAGTTTGTGGATGATTTCACTAGATTCACATGGCTTTACCCTCTTTGTTACAAAAGTGAAGTATTTTCCAAATTTATGGAATTCAAAGCATTTGCTAAAAAATAATTTGGCTTCCCTCTTAAGATTTTATGATCTGATGGTGGTGGTGAATTTACAAATCATTCTATGAAAATGTTTATGCAAACTCATGGTATTCATCATCAATTCTCCTGTCCCCACACTCCATCTCAAAATGGAGTAGCTGAGCGCAAACACTTGCATATTATTGAAACTACTATCTCTCTTTTGCACCACTCTTCTTTACCCCTTACATATTGGTTTGATGTCATAGCCACAGCCACCTATCTCATTAATAGGCTTCCTAGCAAAACTCTTTCTAATTTTTCACCTTATGAACTGCTTTATCATCAATCTCCTGACAACACTAACCTTAAAGTCTTTGGTTGCTTGTGTTACCCTTGGCTTCGCCCCTATTCTCCTCACAAATTGGCTCCCAAATCAGCTCCTTGTGTATTTCTGGGGTATCATCCTTCTGTCAAAGGTTATTGTTGCCTCAATCCTCTCACAGGTAAAATCCTCCTTTCCAGACATGTCAGATTTCATGAGACCTCTTTTCCCTTTTCCTCTTCTTCTTTACAGTCCTCACAGTCTACTTTGTCTCAGATTCAGACCTTCTTTTGGTTCTCTTCTCCTCTGTCTTCACCAAAATCAGTGTCCACTGCTCTGTCCTAGCCCCAGATTGTTCTCCCTCAGTCCCAACCTGGTCTGTCCTAGTCTCCTCCTGCTTTCTCTCCACCCCAGCCTGCTTCCCTACCTCTTCAGACATCTGTTTCACCTCTGTCCCGTCTGTTCCTCCTACACTGCCTCTGCCAGTGCCTATCGATTCTATCTCTGTTGTCCTGCCTCTTCTACCACCTTCTTCCACTAATGTTCACCCTATGACCACTCGATCTAAGTCTCACTCTACTTGCCTTTTAGCCTCTACTACTCTGTCTCCTGCTGATATTGAACTTCTATCCTATCAACATGCTCTTTTTTCTCCTGTTTGGTTCCAAGCTATGCTTGATGAATACAATGCTCTGTAACAACAAGGAACTTGGTCTCTTGTTCCTCTTCCTCCCTCTAAGCAATCCATTGGCTGCAAATGGGTTTTTAAAACTAAGAAAAATTCTGATGGGACTGTCGCCCGATACAAGGCCAGACTTGTGGCTAAAGGTTTTCTTCAGCAACATGGTATTGATTTTCATGACACATTCAGTCTTGTGGCCAAGCAGCCTACTATTCGTATCTTGTTATGCTTGGCTTTGCATCATCATTGGCCTATAAAGCAATTGGACATTAGTAAAGCCTTTCTTCATGGTCATCTTGAGGAAGAAGTTTACATGGATCAACCACCAGGATTTGTTGATCCTTCTAATCGTATCTTGGTGTGTAAACTTCATAAAGCACTATATGGTCTCAAGCAAGCTCATTGGACTTGGTTTTCGACTTTCTCTGGTTTTCTTCTGTCCCAAGGCTTTCTTCAAAGCAAATGTGATTCCTCCTTATTTGTTCATAAAACATCTTCTTCTATCACCTACCTCCTTATCTATGTTGATGACATTCTTCTCACTGGTACTGATGAAGCTTTCCTTCAAACTCTTTTAACCCATATGCACAAAACCTTTTCCATGAAAGAATTGGGTCATATCTCCTATTTTCTTGGCATTTCAGTTCAATCTTCCTCTTATGGTTTCTTTCTTTCTCAAACCAAATATGCTACTGATATCCTTGACAAGGCTGGTATGAAAGATTGCAAACCGTGTGCCACTCCGGTCTCTCTGAAATCTCATCTTCTTTCCACTAATTCTCAGCCATTTTACCAACCTTTTTTGTACCGCAGTATTGTCGACGCCCTTCAATATCTAACCATCACACGCCCTGAGCTTTCTTATGCTGTTAATCAAGCTTGCCAATTCATGCACTTTCCTACTGTTGGCCATTTTTCTGCTGTTAAACACATTCTTCGATATATCAAGGGGACTTTATTACATGGTTTGCATTTTACACCTAGTGATTTTCAGCTTCAAGCTTACTGTGATTCTAATTGGGAAGGTGATCACTCTGATCGTTGTTCTACTTCTAGGTACTGTATTTTCTTGGGTTCGAACCTCATCTCCTGGTCTTCTAAGAAACAATCCACCGTCTCTCGCAGTTCCACTGAAGCTGAGTATCGTTCTTTAGCTCATACAGCAGCCGAATTGACTTGGTTACAAATATTGCTTGCAGATTTTGCTATTCCCCAACCTTCTCTTCTTGTGCTTTGGTGTGATAATTAGTCTGCCATCTTTTTAGCTGCTAACCTAGTATTTCATAGCCGCTCTAAACACATTGAAGTCGATTGCCATTTTGTCCGAGAAAAAGTTGCAGCTCACCAGTTGTTACTTAAGTATGTCTCATTAACTTGCTGATGTGTTCACTAAAGCCTTATCCTCTACTTGATTTGCTTTTTTGACTTCCAAGCTAAGGGTTGCTTCTCCACCTCTTATCTTGCGGGGGAATGCTAAGGATAATGCATCAGATAATGAATGCATCAGCCATGAATAAAGCAGTTGCATCATAATTACCGTATGTATGGTTGTAGGAGAATATTATATAATAACAAGATGTAGTTAGTTTGTTAGACAGTTAGGATTAGTTAGGTTATTATTACTAGTATTGAATAAATGTGTATATATACACTTGTACAGAGATGATTTTGTTTCTTATCATTCAATGAAATACATTCTTCATGGTATCAGAGCATTGCCGCTCTAACGAGTGATCCTGGCAATGGCTTCCTCTTCTCCTTCGTCTATCCCTTCCAATCTCACCATGCTAATCTCAAATATTAATTCTTTCATTACTGTCAAATTGGATAGCACAAATTTTATCATTTGGAAAAATCAAATGCAAAACATTCTTCGTGCAACTGATCTTCTCAAATTTGTTGATGGATCATATCATTGTCCACCAGATTCAGTTCGAAGTTCTTCGGGCTCTAAGATTCGTAATCCAGAGGCTATACAATGGAGAGTGATAGATGCACATCTTCTGAGTTGTATTACTGCTACACTTTCACCTGCGATCTTCACCGCTGTTCTTCATCTTCACACCAGTTCTGAGGTCTGGATGTTTCTTGAAAAACGTTTTACCTCTCTGTCTCGATCTCACATTCATCAACTCAGGAATAAGCTGAATTCGATTTCTAAAAATTCAAATTCCATGAATATAGACAATTAAATCTTATTTTTATAAATTGTTTGGAAAAAGTTCAATTCTCCATAATATATTTCAATTTTGATCTTTCTCATTAAAATATAAACCAAAAACTTTATAAAGAATTTTAATTTATTTATAATTTTATAATAAAAGTACTTCAAAATTTTGAAATTAAATAATTTTTGATAAACAAAAACATAAGTATATGATTCATCGACTATCTCATATATTGAAAAATTTATCAATATTTGTATTGATAAAATTTTAATAGGATTTAGCCATTTTAGATTGTTTACTTTGAAAAACATAAAACAAAACCAAAAAGAAAAAATCATAGTTTGAAAAAATAAAAAATATGATAAATTTTACGTCTATTTCTTTGGATCCAATTGTTGTTTATAATTCTTTTTCTTGATATAGTATTCATAATTTTTACAATTAAAAAAAATATAATTTTAAGTAAAATAAATTTATTTACGAAATTATTGTTCAAATAAAATAAGAAACTTGGAATAAAATCCACCACTATAAAGTAACCAACTTTTTGGAAACCTTTTATAAATGTGATTTAGTTATCGATAATGAATTCTAATAGGAAAATAACACTTATTGATATTTTTTTATTGTTATAGTTAGATATTTCTTTAGACCTGCTATTGCTGCCCTTGCACAATCTGATCTCTCTGAGGGTAGTTCCAGCCCTTGTAGCTTTCTACTCAAAGAAGCTGCAGCTACTGTTCAGCTGGGGCAAAAGCTTGGTATAAACTTTCAAGGGAAAGAAGATGTAGTGTTAGATAAGATCATTGATCTGGAACTCAAGGACAAAGAAAGAATTATCAAGGAGGGTAAGGCTAAGATGTAAGCGCAGTAACTGAGGGATGTTCAGAGTGTGTATTTGTCTCTTTATGAAGCTTATATCTTGGAATGTTAGAGGTATTGGTAAGCCTGAGAAGAGGGGTAGAATTAAAAAGCTCCTAAAAGATAGGCACATTGATGTGACATTCTTTCAAGAAACAAAGAAGGTAGTAGTGTCGGATTCTGTGGCTAGGAGGCTATGGGGTAATAGGAATATGGAGTTCTTGTCTGTGGACCCTGAAGGCTCAGCAGGTGGGCTCTTGTGCATCTGGGATCCAAGTGTGTTCCAATTATCTGGTAGCTGCTGTAACAGGAGATTTATTTTACTCTCAGGTACATTGTATAACTTTTTTCATTGTGTTCTGCTTAACATTTATGCTCCTAATGACGTCAGCAGCAGATCCACTTTTTGGAATACTTTTCTCAACCTCAAGGTTTTCTTTCCTTTCCCTTGGTGCTTGGGAGGGGATTTCAACGAGATTAGACATATGGGAGAGAGAGTTAGATGTTCCTGGAGAGACATGGGTATGAATGACCTCAATGAGTTTATAGATGCCTGTGAACTGAATGACCTTCCTCTCTATGGTAGAAAATACACTTGGTGTAATGCTCAGGAGGCTCAGAAATGGAGCAGAATTGATAGGGTCTTACTTAGCCCTGAATGGTTGATTCACTTCAACATGAAGCTTTGGGGTTTGCCTAGGCTCATATCAGATCACTGCCCTTTATTGTTGATGGAAGATGACAGAGATTGGGGCCCCAAACCTTTCCGGTTTATCAACGCTTGGACTTTGCATCCTAGCTTTTCTAATTTCTTTACTACTTGTTGGCAGAATTTGTAACGCCCTCAAAACAATACATAAAACCCATCTCTTTAGACATGCATTGATACAAAGCAACCAACCATCTTTCCATTAATCAGAGTAGTTCTTACAAAAGTATTACATGTTAACAACAAAAGCAAATGCCCTACGGGCTTACAGTTTTCCAAGTTAACACTTGGTTACAAATAAAAAAAGAGTGCTAACTCAATACATATTAAGCCCATGGCTTGAATTTACATGTAATACATCAAAAGAAAGAAAAAAACAAAAGCAGTCTGTCTGCCTCTAGCCTCCCAAGCTATGTCCTTGGAGGTGGCATACTACCTGTACCTGGAAATGATGTCCCATAAAGGGTGGGCCACAGCCCAGCAGAAATACACTAAACCAGCTATGAACAATGACTAAAAGAATAGCAGTTGATAGATGGTCAACACCGATACACTCACTTATATCACATTCCGGTTTAATGACATTTAAATCCATGTTACATTTCATTTCTCATTTCTTTTTCAACTTTGAGTTTGAAAACAAGGCTCAAAACTTAGCCAAATAACTTGATGAGAATAAGACTCATCTTAAAAACACTTTCGAAATTCATGGTGGATACACATTTTGATGCTGTATTGATAACACATAAGCCACTCCCATACTATACGAACGATACACATTGTGGTGCTGTATCAACATGACATAGAAACACTTCTGTACTTCATAATTGATAACGATATACATTTTAGTGCTATATCAAATCAATCTAAACACTTCCATAATCAACACTTAATACACATTGTAATGCTGTATCAATGTCACACACAACCCGGCTTAGAGGTCCATCCCCTATCTTCCCCTAAACCGTGGAGTACATCCCCTATCTCCTCCCACACACACAATGTATATAAACATAGATCATATACATAAACAATCAATACATAAATTCGATGTATTATTCCAACCGCTATATTCGATAGCATACTCAATCGATTAGTTTTAGTTTGCCTAATCATCATGCATTGTCTACAATAATTAAGGCTATCCTCCACCGATAGCCCAAAGCAGTTATTTCTAAATAGGAAATAAATGCACCAAATGGATATATTATCAACATTCAACCTAGGTGAGCGATTAAATGAATCCAACTACACCCGTTAATCCCATAATCCTTTCAATTTGAATACTCTCAATTCAATTCCTCATTTCTCAAAATTACTTATACAAATTAATTTATCCAACTAATTAGGGCATTCTCCCATAATTAACATAACAACCCCAAGGTTCCACTTTCATCCATAATTCATCATCTATATCATTTCTCTATGCTAAACATGCATATAGGTTTAATTATAAATAAAACCCCATCTTTTGTAAAATTACACAAAGACCCAAACTTTTTCAAAATTACCCAACAACCCCCAACCTATCAAAATGCTAAAATTCAAAGACAAAGCTCATAAAGAGGAGTAGGATATCCCTACCTCGAAGTTAGAGCTTAAACGGGGAAGTTGAAGAAAATCAAAATGCTCCGAACTCAAAGATCCACGGATCAAAATGGAGCCCTCGACGATCAACACACATTTTACAAAGGCCGGAGGATAGGGAGACACTCTAACTAGATCAAACCCTAGAGAGAAGGGAGATCCTAGAGAGAGAAGCTCTCAAAAACGTTTTTAGAAAGTAAGAGAGAGAGAGAGAAAGTAAGAAGTGATTTTAAAACGCCCAGCTGCTAACTGATATACGACATTCTCGCTCGAGCGGATAACAGGACATTCGAGTGTCAAGAACAGAAAACTGGGTATGCTCGAGCGCAAGAATGCCCGCTCGAGCTCCAAGACACAAAGACAAAGGACACCCACTCGAGCGCGAAAGACCAGTCCGCTCGAGCGTAGATTTTCATCTCCCAGAACTTTCACCAACGAGGTACTAACCGCTCGAGCGCCAACAAGCCTGCTCGAGCGCAACCCGCTAGAGCGCAATAAACCCGCTCAAGTGTAGAAAACACACCTACAGAAGTTTTGCAGGGACTCGAAATGCTGGAAGGGTGTAAACCCCGCTCGAGCGTAAAATGACCCGCTCGAGCGGACCACTCAAAAACTGGGCAACAGTAATGGGAGCCAAAGCTCTACCAACCTGTAACAACCAAGCCCAACACATCCTAAAACTCAAACAAATGGATTTAAAGGACGACAACAAGATAGATACAATTACCAACTCCACGGAACTGAGTCCGGAATACAACTGAACAGTAAAGGGGACAACCGGGATCACTATAGAATTCTAATTTTGTGGGTTAGGCTGGTTACATAATCCTTCAAAAACTTAAGCAACTAAAGCTGGAACTAAAGATATGGAACTCGGAAGTGTTTGGCAATGTCTCATCTAAGCTCAAAGCTGCAGAAGATGAA